TGATAAGATTATTAATACTAATAAAGAAGAATAATAGTTGAATTTTGTAATATTTCGAAATTTTCGTTAATGTTCTAGATTCTTTTTTACTACCATAAAAAGAACGATCTACATCGACAAATCGGGAAATCTCCCCGACTGTATTATAAGGCTCAAATGCACAACAGCGGGGACACCATGTCACAAATCGTATTACATTCCCAGAGTACAAGTCTCATTCAATGACCCCAAACAAGTACATGTCAATGGTTGCTAATTTTAAATTCTGCATATATCATGTGTGTCACGAATCCAGAAAGACGAAATTCACACCGATTGTAGGAAAGGAGAAATCATCCTCTCAAACCAAATTGCCATTTCGTATCGCAAATAAGTGAGAGGTTATCAGCTTTTCTAATTGTAAGTTTAATAAGAAGGATGTTGATTATAATTTTAAATATAGCGCTTGCACTTTCTGCGTGACTGCTCCTAAGATGGGGTTGACTAATGTAGGAATCTGTGTTGTAATGATGCACGATTGTGTCATATGCAGATTTCCACTAGTTGACAAGCACTGTACATCATGATCCGTCAAATAGAGCATTGTGGAGAGAAAAGTTGGAAAGCCGACACGTACTGTTCGTATGAATGGAGGAAGTTTACTCTAAACCAGGATGGAGATATCATATCGCCATAAGTGATAATGGAAAAGAAGTTATCAAATTTGGCATTCGTAAGTTCATTATAAGGATATAGATTACATATTTATTTAATGCTCAACTCATTATTCATCTCATCTCCATATTATTCCAAAAGAGAAAGAAGGTAGTGAGATCGTTGGATATCTGACAGCGTACGAAATTAACGGAAATGAAATATCCAATGCCTCCGAACTCTCATATAAAATCAATGCAAATTATATACAAGAAGCTTACGACTGGAATTCTATGCCAACATGGAGTCTAGCCATATCCAATGCGAATATTAATGGAAAGACTTTAATTGCGTTTTCCTATTTTCCAACTAAAAGACTTTATGAACCAAATTCGGATTTAGAATCTGGATGTTCTTGCGCACCTTCGCAAGATCGCAGCTCTACGTACGTGCTTGTGATGGATCGTAATAATCCCGATGAATGGATAAGGATAGAAACGCCATTAGATGAAGTTGCTGGAGTAGTTAATTTTGTATCGGACCCCGACTCGGATATGTGGCTACTGACAGTATCAAATGAAGGAGGAATATTTCAATACAATATCGATCCAGAACATACAGAACCATACAAAACCTTGTCCGAAACTAGTGTATGGCAGCGTAATATCCCGATGGCATATAGACACAATATGAAGAATAAGTGGAAAGGCCTACATAGCAAAGCTTACTTTCAATTTTTAGCAAGGACGATCAAGTCACATGTGTACTTTGAACCTGAGCCAAAGAAGAAAATACTTCGTGTGTATAATCTACGTGATGGGCGGCATCTTTTCGATCTCCATCACCATGGCGATCCGAGTCTAATTTGCTTTGATACACCGGTACTGGCAATATCGAAAAATGGCGCTTTGTTGGCAGTCAGTCTTGATACAACGTTCATCAACATTTATCTGACGGAGAATGGTTTAGAGTGCGGAAGAAAGGATGCAACGAAATCGCATAGAATAGTATTGATTGAATTCATCAATAATGACGAATGCTTACTAATCATCAGAGAAGCTAAAGAGACACACAAACTAGTGGCTACTGTATGGGAGTTATTCACATGCAGACCCGACAGAACTATAAAAAAAATTAATTTACCAGATTACTTCTTTTATAAAAGACCGAATCTTTATGGAGTCAGGTGGGCTGGCAATACGGCAATTTTTGTTACAGACAAAGGGGAACTAAAACTAGTTCTCGACTGCTTTGATCCAGAAGAGGAGAAAGTCAGTGGAGGAGAGGACCCGCCAATTGTGGCCGACAAACAATTAGAGTATTCGACTGTATATGAATTAGATGAAAAAACATATCGCCTGCCAGACTCCAAATTGACACAGCTGATAATACGTAGGATAGAACCATGGATGCCGGACGGTAATAAGATAATAGGTGTGTGGCTGGATGAAAGTGAGGAAGGAAAAAGTCGGCGACAACTTCTTATCGGAAGGAGTTGTATACAAATATGGAAGCTCTTACCGGACGGTCAACGTCTATTATTGTACATATATGCGAATGAGGACATCGTAACCGATCACAAAACAGATCCAAAGATCACTATTACTATTTACAAAGATAGGTTCGATCTCACAATCGAGCGGGAGGATGTCTTTCCGGATCGTGTCTTACACATCAAATGGCCAATTGATCCTAGTGAAATAGTTTTAAATGCATGTCAAACCCTTGAGTGGTTGGATAAGAAGAGGGACAAAAACTATACATACGAGAGACGCATATTGTTCGATGAAATCAAACATCAAATTACCAATATTGTTCGCATCTTTATTAAAAATTATCCTGATGAATGGAGTCTACTCGAAGTGCGACACGACTTGATGAAGTCTTTAATCATTGGAGGGTGTTCTCGCCTGACACAAGACTTGATTAAAGTTAGTGACGGCGAAAATAATGAAAACAATGAAGGGGAATACCGTCGTCGTCTGTTACACATTCCGCGAAAATACTCATGGGATAATGATAACGGAAAACTGAAAAAGAAGGATAATACTGATATAATGGTGGTCATCAGGAAAAACAAAGGGTTGACCGAGAACTTTCTCGCGTATTATGCTCATCATGCCAAAAATCATTATGGTTGGATGCATACAGTAGGAGAAGCTCTATCGGAATTATATGAGTTTGAATCATATAACGCAGACGGTGAGTTTTGAAATGAAAATATTCGTCAATTAAATCTGACTACTACTTTTAGCACCAAGTTCTTTTACTATTCATCGTTCTATTAGACCTAAAGATTTCTAGAAAGAGATTGTTGGCTCATCCAACGTTCGCCGGAGATTCATTACACGGTCATGAGCATCCTCCCACATCTTACGCAGCCATGTTTCGATCATCATCAAAGATTCACGATGACTTGGAGCCATTATCGAGAAATGACGTAATTGCAAATTTGAGATACGCTTATTTGACTAAAGCAGAGGGTACGGCGCTAAGGGTCAAGTTGCGATGTGATAAATTGAAGCGACGACTCCGGCACGTTAGGCTTGGAACTATAGTAAAAGTCATGCTTACCCCCTTCTCATTTGTTTTGAGGACCGTTGCAGCTATATTTGACGCAAGGTAAGAAGACTTCGCGGCGAGGATGGAATGTTCCTTGGGATTATTGAATTTTTGTAGCTTAAAGGATTAAAATAGAAATGTTGCATATGAGTTATTTAAATGTAATATCCAATATAATTTTCACACTTTTAATATCATGTTTCACATTTCACGCGAAGTTCTTTCTCACTCTCTAAGGATCCTATGACGCTTATAAATATTGTGCGTCGCATTCCGGTACCGGTTGACGCTTATGCCATTGGGTATCTACTAGTAACGGCTGTGGAAGAGGATGATGGAATGTTTCTTGATAATCCGGTCATTTCTGGCATTATTGATTGTGCATGGAAGGGCGAATCTTATCTCTACTTCGTCTTTTTGTTTCTGTTTTTTTCTTATTTGATAGTCTTTGATGCATTTGTATGGCAGTACATTCATCAAAACAATAGTTACTATGTTGTAGTTGTATACCTCTTTGTAATTGGGACATGCTATATATTGTTTCTATTGACTGTAATGTTCAATAGGCGAAGAGGCTTGACGTTCTACGACGTAGTCGACCTATGTTCGTTTATTCTTCCTATAGTAACAACTGCAGTCTTGACATTCAAGGCAACGCGTGATGACAATGGGGTGTGGGGATTTGGTCAGACTGAAATAAGCAGAAATATGCTCTTCCTTATTTCCATTAGTACATTCATCATGTGGTTACGATTTCTGTTGCTTTTAAGATTATTTGAAGGTGAGACACGATTTCTCGAGTTTCGAGTGTTTTACGTGAATTTAGTCTTTAATACTGCATTTGGTGAATACTTCAGTTTCTGGCATCTATGTGCTTATCATTAGCAACATAGTTTTCCATATTTTGCCGTTCTTGGCGTTATTGTTTATACTCGTTGTAGCATTCGGGCAAGCCATGTAAGTAGATTCAGATGTATTTCAACTGTTTCTTGAGAGGTATGTAAAATACTAAATCCCGCGTTTCACACCAAAAGGTACGTGCTTTTGCATGACCCAACAGAAATTGGTTTGTCGCCAAATATTCTACAACTCGGTGTCAACGTGACAACTCCTAATGGCGACGTTGAACAGACAAATTATACAGTATATCAAAATTACAATCCGCAAGACGCGTCTGACAATAATTTTGCAAATTTCTGGACTTCCGTATTATCTTCTTATGATTGGATGAATGGAAGATGGGATAATGTGGACTGGAATTACTATCCAGTTACAATCTTCATCGTCATTGCAAGCTTGCTTCTAGTTATTATTATGTTAAACGTCCTTATTGCCATAATGGGTGATATATATACTGCTGCCAAGGAATCCGGGGAACGAGAAATCTTGAGATTACGCGTAAAATTTATACTAGATACAGAGTAGGTGACATTGTTAGTGAAATCGCCTATTTGCATTATTTATCTTTATGGGCTGACATTCTATTCACAATATCATCAGATACTTCGGTAACAAGGTGTGGAGGACAATGTTCCCCGCATATAGGCCACCGTCGCGCTTTGAAGACGTTGTAAAGAAAAATCCACGATATATGTATGTTCTTGGTAACCGTCGGCGATTCAAACAGTGGGTTGAGGAAGGGGAAGTATTTCGAGAACTCACCAAACCGCAAGAGGTTCAACAAGAAAAACTAACTGACCACAGTTGTTTTAAGTTGGAGGATGATGATAGTGGATAACTTCATGTGGTATTGGACAAGTTATATCTTTATATGGGTCATTCGAACTTCATCATATTAATATAAGTACTTCTATCTACTATATGAGACTGGCTGAGATTTAGTAGAGGAACAGGTGCCAAAGATCAAACCTATTGCCAAGTTTAAGTAAAGTGAGCGTCTCATATTTACTGTTTAATAATTTCTGACAAAAAACTTTGCCAGGCTCATTATTTTAAATAAAAGGTTATGCTATCCTTGTTATATTATTTGGTTATTAGATGGGTACGTACCAAGATATGTAGAGAAGCGTGATTTTGATAGTCCGATGTCTTGTCGAAAATAAAAAACAAAACTAGATTTCTAGACATTCATTTATGTTTCGAATTTGACCCCATAACAGATATTCCGAAGTAACGATGATACTAATACTCCAGGTGAGAGGACACAAGTGTTTGAGCATCTATTAGTAGGCTACCTTTATTATTACAGTCACCGGTAAAAGTAATGGCGGTCAGTTTTTGGGACGTAATGAGCTCAACTTGAAAGATAAATACATATAAAATTATTTTAATGAAAGCCAAACATTATGGCTACAAATTTTGATATTTGATATGACCTCCTTCAGCTTCAATACATGCTTCAACTCGTTTTCATACTACTAATGCTGTTAGCTATGACTTTTTTTCGAGATTATCCCATTTTAATTCTCCCCAATTAAATCTAAAAAAACGGATTGAGAAAAAAATTTTTTTCTTTTTTTTTCCACCTCCATTTTTTAATGTATTTCTCAATATTATGCTTCAAAATGGCCCAGACATTCTCAATTGATTAAGATCTGGACAGTAAGAAGGTCAAGGAAGAACACGTCGTGAAAGACGAGATTCTGAATCACCCTGAACATCATGAGATGTAAGTTCCAGTAGAACTGAACTAAAACAAGTCTATTAAGGTTTCGGCGAATAATACGCTCATTAACATCTAACTCTGGGTATTTTGTTTCCAGCATAGTCTTCAATTCATTGGATGTCGTGAAATGATCATGTTTAATAGTCATTCCAAGTTGTTAAGGAGATAATTCTTGTGGGTGACTGCTCGATGAATGCTTGGGATTTTGCCATTTTTTTCGAATTAACGTTCACAGGAACGCAAAGGAATCCCAGAAAAAAAATTCCATTATGGACGTTTTGTTTCCAAAAAGACTTAATATTAACCTGTTCACAGGTTACTTTAATAGGTGTAACCATTTCAATAATCGCGAAGTGACTTGTGTTTTATTGTTCATATTTTAAATTATTGTTTCCTGCTCAATTTGGTATTAGTAAACTAACGCTAAACGCGATATGGAGATGCTATCACTATTGTTACGGTCGGGAATTAAATTGGGGGTTTTTGGGAGAGCGATTTATCTTTTCGTGTAGGTGTGTTCGCCGACCGGGGGATGTTACCAGGCTTAGCTC